CAATAAAAAAAAAAAAATAAAAAAAAAAACCTGCCCACAATTTGTTTCCTGTTCTCTCTTGATGTATCAGTTTCAATTAGAGAGCTGGTCTATCGAAGAAACAAAAGGCATGACTTTATTTTAGCTTTTTCTTCTTCTTGCCCCGTGCTTGAGGAGGCGAACGGACCTGCCACCCCCCACCCCTGGAACGCGATCGGACCAAGGGAGGGCCCCCGCACCCTACATCGTAGCTAAGGATCCCTGCAGCTAAGGACGGCCCTGCTTCTTCCATATTATACAGTTGTGGTCAAAATTTAACATATAATTTGCGGTATCTGCAAAATGTTAATTATTTTACCAAAATAAGAGGGATCATACAAAATGCATGTTATTTTTATTTAGTACTGACCTGGGGCCAGTTCTTCGTACCTCGCTTAATACATCTGAGATGATTTGAAAGATGCCAGATCTTCTAATCGTGATAACTGATCTCTGGCTAATTTGGTTCTTCAAATGAATTTGCGGATTTAATTAAAATATCTGGATTAAGATGTCTAAGATTACTGCGCGTTCTCGTGTTCCCCAAAAAGGGCAGTTCTATCGATACTGGAAACCACGATCAGCAATGCAGCGATTGGCTGGCGGCAAGACAGCAACGTAATGACATCATATCATTAAAAAAAGACACCTGACGAAAAACTTGACAAATTTCTGGACCTTTATAAGGAAACAGCCTTAAGGAAACAACAGTGAACAAAACTACATAAATGTTACAATAGATAACTGAAATGTGCACTGTTTTTATTTATTTTATTTATTTATTTATTTTACATGATTCCCAATTATTTATATTCACAATTTCAAGTATTTTTACAGGCTATACTTATTTCAATGTTGTAATTAGCAATTCATGTAATTTTATCTTATTTTAAAATTAATTTTAAAATTATTATTATTATAAATGATTGTCCCCGGATTAGTAGGGTACTCTTGTAATAGAGTAGCAGTGGCTGGGATAGATTTTAAATATCAATTCCACTTAAAAAGATGCAATCTAATTCTGTTTACATGAAATAAGCCTGCTCCCAAGCAGGTTTAAGTTTATGGACCTGTTGCTATAACAGCTAGTCCAGGATGAGCTTCGAAGAACCAAATAATCCAAAATCATGCCAAATCATCAACAATCAAAGTTAGCGACGTACGAAGAATGGGCCCCAGAATAAGATAATTCACATAAAAGACGTTTATATTAGGAGAAAATAATAGTTGAATTTTAAAAAATGACCCCATTCCAAAGTTTACATGAGCTTGATTCTTTATACTCTGTTGGACGATCCACAGCTGTTTTTTTTTTTTGTGATGGTTGTTCATGAGTCAACTGTTTGTCCTGAACAGTGAAACTGCCCACTGTTCTTCAGAAAAATCTTTTGGGGTCCCACAAATTCTTTGGGTTTCCAGCATCTTTTGCGTATTTGATCCCTTTGCAACAATGACTGTATGATTTTGAGATCCATCTTTTCACACAGCGGACAACTGAAGGACTCATACGCAACTATTACAGAAGGTTCAAACGTTCACTGATGCTCAAGAAGGAAACACGATGCACAGTGTCCAATGTTTGAAACATGTAATCATAATAATAGTGATTTTAAAATTAACCTCTCATTTTCCTTCAAATAGAATAACATATAATTAAAATAGACAGTTAGCATTACATAGTACATAGGTTAGAATCTAAAAAATTAACTGGATTTATTTATGTTTCATACACAAGTAATGCAACGTTTTTAAAAGCCTTTTAGTTTAATTAAGCTTAATTTCTGCCTTCTCAGTTTAAGTAAAATCAATGCAGTCACAAAGTTATAACTAGCGGTAATAAAATGTGTGTTATATTTTTACGATAATCCAATTAAAATAATCTGAATTTACTTGCTGATGAAGTAAATTGATTTGAAAAAGACAATAATTATGAAGCTATAAAATCAAGCGTAGCGTTAGTTTTGTCAGGTCACGTTAGTCAAGCTCGCATCAGCTGACTCTCAGCTGATCCCCATCTACCTATAGGAATACGACACCTATCTAAGCATTCATATATAAGGTCCCTCAGTATTATCAGCAGTTTTCGCATTGCTCAATAGCTAATTACCCTCCTCCATCCCCAGCTCCTCCTCTGTCAGTCAGGATTCAGCCTTCTGTTATTGTGACAACATTTAAAAAAATCATTTGTTATAAAAGAATAACAAAGTGGTAGGCCACAGTGCATGTGATGCAACCTACATTTGAGTGTATGTATTTAGCAATGCTGGCCTGTTCAGTCATGTCCCAATGTGCAGGGACCTCTCATATTTACACAGCAAACAACTCAAATGATCTCACCCTTTCTTATCTATGTAGTGTGTCAATAAAACAGAGGGCACTTTCAGCCAGTTCATAACATAATGAATCCATATTGTCAGCTTGTCAGTCACAGTCATATATGAACTCACCCTGAAGGCACTTTTTAATTTAATATATACAGTGTTACATGATATACATTGTATACCTGGTACGTTATTTCTGTCACTCAGCCTTTTACCTTCATTGTGTGAATATTTCCTGTAATTTAGCCTGTGGCGTATTGCATGTCAACACCATTATGCTTTTATCTTTACTTGCTGAATTGGGTCTCACAGGGCTTGACGTGTGTAATGTTATTTTGGTTCATGAATGTAAGAAAACAACAGATAACTAACTAAATCATCATAGCATCATAGTAACAGCCTGAGTTTATAATGCAATATTAACTCAAAGAGCAGCTGGCGGTCTAGTCTGTGGTAAACCAAAGCACTTAATGTTGCTCTGGGCTTGCTTGATTTAGTCTGAACTGGCAGCGTGCTGGAAACAGTACGAGGGCACTGTTCCTCTGAATCAGCCTATTTTTATCTTTTAGATTGCATCTCTACATTTGCATGACTGGTTTTATTATACTGGTGACGCATGCCCCTAACAAGTGTCTGGCTGCAGGAGATACTAGTCTTTAAAAGACATGCCTGTTGATGTTTTATTGGTGCCAAACATTCAATCACAGAACTATTAGAAGGATACCTCTGCAGGAACAGTAAACTGACTCAGCAACTCACCATATTGTTTCAGGAAAGAGTATCTGGCAGAGATTTGCCAGAAATGATGAATAAGCCTGCACCTGAATGGAAACAAATTAATGCTTTGTCACCTGTGAATCGCAATAATTGTTATGCTTGTAGGGACTAGCGCAGAGTTGGTTCATTGTTTCCTTTGTTAGCAGCATCCAGGAAATTCACACATTTAATGTGTGTGTTTTTTTTTTTTTCAACTTCTTGGTATCAGCAAAATCTCTGACCTGTAAGAAAGTGCATTCACACGGACATAGATAGTGGTATTTCTCAGTGATAAATTTCTCAGACGAAAACGGCAGATAGTTGCACAAACCCAATTTGGTGATTTGATGATGACTTGTTGATTCTTATATGTATTAAAACGTTCTGTGATCTAAGGGTTTAGTGACCTGTGTTGTGGTGTATGATGATGGGGCCTGGTTTGGGGGGGATATGTAGATGTTTTCTATCCCCTGCTTGAAGAAGAACTGAAAACATCTTGAACATTTTTATTTGCTTATTTATTGTATTTGTATTTCTGTTTTAAGAATAATGGTTCATCGCAGTACCATGTTTTGTTCTTGTTTCAGTATCCAAATGAGTAGGCTTGACATCTCATTTCCTCTCTGTAAATCAAAAAACAAACAACAGAAATAACCTTCTGTTCTTTTTTTTCTGAATAAAATCAGTCAGGAGTGGTACCATAATTACAATTACAGTGATGAGAATAAGCTTTATGCATTACAGTTTTGAGAAGTAGGAGTTAAAATTTACTTAATTATCATGAAAATAAAGTAAAAAAAATCTTATTGGTCCTGAATTTTCATTTATAATTTTTATAATTTTATGAAAAATCATCCAAACATATATTCTTTTGTGAGTTGAGCCCACTTGGAATGCAGCTTGTTTGATCTTTGTTCTTTAAATGATCACATTTAGCAGTAGCACCACATACAGCATGACCTACATTGCTGTCCAAACCTGTGCAAACAGGGGACTTCAGTTTGGCTTTTATAGTTTGACCTTTAGAGTCATCTCTGTATCTCAATGTCGTGAGATTTAAACTGTCACTTTGCAAAACTCCAAACTAAATCACTTTTCTTGTACATTGTCTGATACTTAAACACCCTCCTGGTGATCTTAAAGGTTTTAGTGGCAGCACAGATTTCAAAAGACAGCAGCGTTTGATCCGTCTCTGTGTTTGTGACCCATCTGACTTGATTTTACAAACACATGCAGCGCATAATTGAGTGGGCCGAGTTTCATTGCACTGATGTCTGTTCCCAACACATCTGCTTTCCTCTGCTCCATTTCTTCTGGACACAGTGTCCTATACATCTTGCTCTATATCCTTCCTCCTATAATCAGATCATTCTGAAAAGTGTTTCTATTATGTCTTCTGTGTTGACAGGCATTGCGAGGTCCACTAGTGGCAGGCTGAGGAGGCCAGAGAGAGGAGAGGCAACAAGTCCTACTGGTACGTGTTCACATTCACACGCAGGTTTGCTGTTGTTCATTGCTGCGATACACAGATCAGTGGTTCACCAAAAATGGCTAGCAGGTTTTCCTTGATAGGGTCTTGGACAGGAGGGAACAACAATGTTAAATGCAAATAATGAAATGCATCTAAGCATATAAGCATGCAAAATGAATACTTTTAAAAGGAGGAGGAACCTCTGTTGTTGTTGATGATGTCAAAAGCTGTGTGTCCAATCAAACTACAGTATTTCGGTAGAAGCAACCAAATAAAAAAGATCCAGACTGCATTAGATACAGCAAGGAAAAACATGGTTTATGCTGTACACAGTTTGTTTTGTGTGGTGAATTATTGGCCGATGAAAATTTGTTTAAAGGGGTCATATGATGCGATTTCAAGTTTTCCTTTCTCTTTGGAGTGTTCTTTAATGTAAAAATAATGTAAAAGACATTTTAAAGCTATGTTGTTCATGTTATAAGTTAGTCATTTATAATAGTAAATATTTAAAATATTGTTAACATTAATACTACTACAACTATTATTATTATTAATAACAACAACACCAATAATAATAAAAATAATAATAATAGTTTGTATTTAGTTTTATTACTATTAGGGCACATGTATGTTTTCGTAAAAGCCTTCGCTGCATCAGACATTAGGCTCTGAGTTATGATTGACATTGCTTGTGAACACAGCTGTTTATGGAGTGCTTGAAGATATACGTACAGTGAATAAAGGCATTTAGTTTCACATTCATAATCCTGTTTCTTGTTTGCTGCCATTGGTAAAAAAAAAAATT